CATAGGTTGCCGGTCACCGCTTCCCGGTATACGTACTTTCATGAAGAAGGCAGAGCGAGCTCGATTGCTCCACAGCCAAGGGGACACATTTCTGCGAAAATGGCGGATCGGGCGTTTTCGGTATTTAGTGCCCCGCAGAGAGTTCTCCATTCGACGTACGGCCGGTTCTCACGACCTGTTGTTGGCTTACCGAACAATCGGGGTTTACAGGTCTGTGCAGGGGGCGTGTGATGGCCTAAAGTCTTACGGTGTACTCGGCGCTGATTGTCAGCCAACATTATTTCATTATTTGAGGGCCGCTTTCGCGAGGATGATTTTTTTTTTTCATCTATGAAATAGACAAGGGGGTTTAGTCCCCTTAACCCTCAACCACCCCGTGTACCCCCTACTATAACCAAGACAATCATCCTCCCCGTGAAGGCTACCGACATTCGAGGGTCCTCCTCCGTGTCGGAGACAGACAGACGGCGCTAGGTGGTGGGGTCCTCTGGGCAGGCGCACTCTTCCTGCTGCCGTCCGCAGTGCCCCCTGCTACCGACCGCCGTCTTCTGCTTTTTCCCCATACCACCTCTCTCTGTTCTCAACGAGTATTGTCAGCAATAGATTCTTCATCTTCCCAACGTTAATATCTGCGACAGCTTCTTCACTACGGGCGACACCTTGTCAAGTGTCGAGCTTCTGAACGCACGTTGTTCAAGTGGGGCCCCAAGGCAAGGTTTGCCCGTCGTGTCGAGAAAAAACAAAACAAAAAACACAGGACAAAAAACTGAACGAATGCAAGAGCAGTGGGGGTCTCCGAATAAGGCGGTGATGGGGCAGCCGCTCTATTCGGTGCGTAGAACAAACAAATGGATTCTCCTTCCGTCTTGTACGCCAGCCAGTTTCACTCGCCTAAAATAGGGCGATCGCCTTATTCAGACAGACACTGCCGTGTTCCCACTGTTTTTTTTTTTACCCCGTACTAATTTTACCATGCCCTTCGAATCAGGGTGGTACCGCCGTGAAGGCAAGTCTCTCTCTCTCTCTCTCTCTCTCTCTCTCTCTCTCTCTCTCTCTCTCTCTCTCTCTCACATCTCCGCTTCAGGAAAACCGCGAGAACCAATACACTGTTGCGGCTTCCCATCTCCGAACGATGACACGCATGTTGACACGGAAGACAACGGAA